GCGCACTCCTGGTCACCTATTCATGGGTGGCGGCGTAGAAAAAAAAAAAAAAACTTGTAGAGGCCAGCTCCCTCCCATTTTTCAACTACCTCTTTACCATAGTGCCTTTTTTCATTCAGACATTGAAGCCTTTAGGGGCGAATTTCGCCTTTTTCCGTAGAACCTTAAGCTTAATGAAAATTAACATCTAACAGACAATTAAATACTGGTGCTAATTTTAATTTTTATAGAGGCCAGCTCACTCTAGATTTTTTATAGGAACGCTCTGTCTAAGGGCCATCACTTCTTATCAAGCACAAAATGGCACTTTGAAAAGCGATAATTTAATGTTTTTCTGTTGTTTTCCAAAAATTTCATATCAAGAGAATGCAAAAATCAATTTCATTTCTAAAAACATCAGAATTAAGTAGGTTCACTGCCTAGATACTGAGATATCCGAGGCTTCCTGAAGGCATGATGTCATACCGTGAAATTACAAATTTCTTGGCAAGAACGAATTTTAATGAGGACTAGAGGGACAGCATTACGCGCAGCGTAAAGAGGGACAGCATTACGCGCAGCGTAATAAATCAAGTTTCAATAAAATCGGCCCAGTAGCGGCCGAGTAATGGCCAGAATAAAGTTGGCGTCTCCTCCTGGCCGGCGGTGCTCTGTTCCGGTATTCATTGCCAAAGGTCAGTGACCTTCCGGCTCTGATTTCACCCAGTTTTGCAGCGAAGAAACTGAGCCTAAGGCGCGTGCTCTCTGCTCGGCGCCGGCCGCGGCCCAAAATCCCACAAAGATGCGCCCGCCACGTGCAAACCGCCGAGCGCACCCCCACCAAAATTTAATACGACAAACAGATGCACGCGTCCGACTTGCGTCGAAAATTTCACCCCCGTAGCCCGCACCGTTCCGGAGCAATAGCCCTTAAAGCGTGACTGACGCGTTACATACATACATACATACATACATACATACGTACAGACGTTTTGATTTTTATATATGTAAATACGCGCAGCGTAAAGAGGGACAGCATTACGCGCAGCGTAATAAACCAAGTTTCATAAAAATCGGCCCAGTAGCGGCCGAGTTATGGCCAGAATAAATTTAGCGTCTCCTCCTGGCCGGCGGTGCTCTGTTCCGGTATTCATTGCCAAAGGTCAACGACCTCCGACTCTGTTTTCCCTCATTTTCGCAGCGAACAATCTGAGCCTAAGGCGCGTGCCGTCTGCTCGGCGCCGGCCGCGGCCCAAAATTCCGCAAAGATGCGCCCGCCACGTGCAAACCGCCGCACGCACCCCCTCGAAAAGTTGATACGACAAACAGATGCACGCGTCCGACTTGCGCCCAAAATTTCACCTCCGTAGCCCGCACCGTTCCGGAGCAATAGCCCGCCAAGCGTGACTGACGCGTTACATACATACATACATACATACATACATACGTACAGACGTTTTGATTTTTATATATGTAAATAACTAAAAATATGTCTTTATTAAATCGCGAAACATAAGTAATAGCAAAGTATTAGGAAAATCTGTAAAGTAGTTACGTAGCAAGTATCTTGCAAATCATGCTAGCACTAGTTGTCAAGACCTGAACCCGTTGCCTTCATGTTGAAGGAATTTTTCGGTGTTACCTAGTGTTTTTATATACCTTGGTGGGTTGTATGTTTGTAGGTTGTAGGCGTTAGGTTTGTAGGTTGTAGGTTAGGTAAGGTTAGGTCAGGCTAGATTATGTTTCAGATCTGGCATCTCGTGAGACGTCTGCTTAATGAATAACAATTTGTGTAGGTATGTATCATGAGCTTGAAAATCTACAGCCCCTTGCAATATGCTTTTGTCTATTTGCTTAATCTAAAAACTGCGAAGTACCTATATACCATTTGGTTGCATTTCATTAAAAGTATCCACGGCCGGCTGACGGCTGGCTGTCCACAGTTTGCCACGGCTGTGGGCGGCTGTGGCTGTGGAGCCACGGCTGCGGGGCGGCTAGGCTGTGGAAAATTGCAGCCGTGCAGATCTCTACATCACGGGCAGTGCGACACAGCTGTCATGTGACCTAGGCCGCGGGTCAGTTGGTCATTCCGTTTACCAGGCGCGAGGCGTACTCGGTAAAAGCGAGCTCAGCTGTTCCATGCTGCCGCTGAGGAGCTCAGTCAGCTCATTGGAGCCACGTAAACTCGGGCAACTGAGCCGGCGACGACGGGTCCGAGTCCCTCGATACTCACCGCGTAGCTGGGACTGTCTTGAGTGTTCATCCCATTAGCACTGGTAGGGAGGCACACTGTTCGACTACGTGTTAGATCGCTCTCGACTGCAGCGGAAAAAATATAAAAGCTTGGCGCGACGTATGCTGCTGTATTACAAGCAGATCGGACGAGCGTGTGTGATAGCGGCGCGAAGTCGATCGTCTGAGACGGACTGAGCCTGAGTTGAGCTCAGCTGAGCTGGGCTCAGACAGGCCGCATAAACTGGACCGGCGGCTATACGAGATGCCGTCGAGGCCGATAAAGATCTGGTGTCAATACCGATCGTAAAGTAGTCGGACCGAGACTGGGACGAGTTTAGGGTTGAAGCTGGGGGTTTGGGCAGTCTGAAAAGCCTGAGACTGATATTGTTACTGAGAGACAGCCCCAGGCCAAGCGATGCCAGAGGGGCTGAAACTGGGTCTGATGCATGAGATAGCCAAGCTGGTATAGGTACGGGTGCAAGTTTAGTTTGCAGCTTACTTTGTTCCACTTCTCGATGACGCATTTTACCGGCCATTCAACAAGAACACATGCCACCAGTACATTGTCTGGAAAACAGAGTGTATACCGACCAGCGACGGGCTGTCTGCTTTCCCGACGAAGAACCTCCAAGAAAAGCTCGTGTGACGGCGCGTGGGATGCCGCATCTGTGCCCGACTCCGGCCGGTCGGGACACCTCTCCCCTCCCCTCCTGCTGGCGGCGCGAGCCTGCCCGCCCCAGGGAGGGTCGGGCTGCGGCGACTGGCATATCAAGCAGCTCGCATCTCCGGGGCGTGTGATACTCCAGGTGGCCAGTGTATCGTGTCGACGGTCACCGAGTACCTCTATGGACGCGTGGGACCCGGGCGATACGTGAGCCAACCGACTCGTGCCCGGGCGCGGAGCTCCCGTTAGCACGGTGTTGTGCAACGGACGGGGAGTGGCGAGCGGTGGGAGGATAAGAGAGGGAAGATGTAGGTTTGTTCACATGGACCAATTATCTTCAAAAAGTGACGTGTTATATGTTCAAATCTCTGCCAGGCATGATTTCAACAAGCTTTTGCTCAGAACTCCCACTTATTTGCAATGGATAGATAGTTAACGAATCTACGCACTAGGCTACGTCAAAGTTTCAGTCCAGGCGCTCAAAAACCCTAGTCATCTATCTACATCAAAGGAGGTCTTACATAAGTTTACTGTTTATTCACAAAACACCAGACACTCACCCTGGCCTTTTGCATTCAGCGAGACGCGAAATGTCGATTAGTTCTTGCGGATGCAACACCGACAACAAACAAGTTCTCAGTAGCCGTGAAAACAGTTATTTGAACAGAATCCTTTGTTTGATAGTGTTTTGAGAGTTTTGATATCTCCATTATCTGTTCCGTCTTTTTTCTACAATCTGGACTGACTACAACTGTGAAACATGAGTAACCGTTCCAGTAGGATTGCAGAATGCAGAGTGCCTTTTCTTGTCGTGTTCGGCATTCGTTTCGGCTCAGCGCGTCTCCATTTGTGCGCTTTCCGTGTTCGGAACTCTATTCCCGTGCGCCACACGCACTGTGTGGTTGTGGAGTCGAACCATTGTCTCGAATAATGGAACGTCCCATCTTAAATGGATCTGTGCGTTATCGCACGCATGCAGTCATTGGATATGCCCGCCGGCCAAAATACTGTATATTGCAGGAGCGCTAATGGCTGCGCTTTTCGCTACGGCTGCAGCCGTAGGTGAAGTCGGCTGGTGAAGTCGGTGTACTGTATGCGTTTGTTGTTTGAAAGAAAACACCCGAAAATCGTAGCAGGGATAAACTGAGGAACGCTACGGGTGTATTTTGGAGGAACAAAACGCAAACAAGGCATTTTCTCCTGCATATACTATTTCACCATTCCAGACTTTATTTTTTCGTTCAAAGTGTCGATTTTCGGGTTAACATTTTGATGCGGTTTGTATGGTATTTTTGTGAATGATTTTTCTCTTGAATAATGTCACTTTACCGTAGGCACGAAGGAGATAAATATTAGATAAATAAAAGCAAGTCCGACGGTGTATGTTTCCTGGCGAGGATCGTCTGCGGCTAATGGCAGCAGCCGCGGTCAGAAGTCAGTGAGTGAGACTGCTCGGTGAATGTGAGTGCTCGGCTATGCTGGGAGTGGGCAGGACTTACTTTAGCTTCGAAATTCCCCCGTCAACTTGGAATTATTGATGGGACCGTGGAGTTTCGGGCCTGACCAGCTCGAAGTCTTCAGAACGAACTTCCTTTTTATTTTCTGTGGCCCAGCTCCGCTATTTAGGTACCTTGCAATATATTCCTACAATGATATGCAAGTTGTTAAATAATTTATTGACGTTTTCCTTGAATATTATCACTTAATATAAATGAAAGAAATGTGGTATTTTGGCCGACGGGCCATTATCAAACTGAAACAGAACCATTCCAATAATACATTGCGTGGTTTTGCTGAAGGTGTGGTATTGTCTCTGACAGTGTGTCTGCTGTATGACACAGGGTGAACTGACCTCCGTCCTCCCCTCTCCCTCTCTCCCTGTGTTGCGGATGAACTGATCCTACCCCGTCCCCTCTCCCCCTGTGGTATGGATGAGCTGCCCTCCCCGCTCCCTCTCTCCCCTGTGATGAGGCTGAGCTGCCCCCACTCCCCTCCTCTCCCTGTGGTGTGGCTGACCCTCCCCGCTCCCTCTCTCCCCTGTGATGAGGCTGAGCTGCCCGCGCTGCTCCCTCTCTCCCCTGTGGTGTGGCTGAACTGACCCCCGCCCCCTCCTCCCCTGCAGAGCGGCGGCTAACCGGTGGCGCGCCCGCAAGAAGCGAGCTCAGCAGCAGATGGCCAGTTCGATGGAGGCGCTCAACTGTCGCGTCAATGAGCTACAGCAGGAGAACGCCGAGCTGCGTGCCAAGCTGAAACTGGTGCTCGGCCAGCACCGCGACTGCGACGTCTCGCGGGGACTCAAAGGTGAGTGTCGGTCTCGGCCCGATATAGGTTATTTGCCGAGCATAGGTCGGCCGTCGGTGCTTCAAAGTGCGCCCGGCTCTGCCCGTCTGGAGCGACGTTCACTGTAAGGGTCATCTCGGCGTTTGATCCGGTCTCTAGCACCCAGATTGTCATTAACGCTGAATTCATAGCTTGAATGAGTGGACGAACGCACAATAGGAGTCTCGTAGACTTTGAAGTTGTAAATTGCCGGATGTGCCCTTCTGTAAATTGCCGGATGCCCTTCTGAGATGGCACGCTTGGAGGGCGTACGTGGTCCGCTGTTCATCTGAAAAACAATCCAATTCTACAAGAAAAGAGTATACCTCTATTAAGAAAACGCTTTTAATTTGTTTAATCAAAAGAATGAAAGCTTTACACCAGACCGATGCTTTTTGCTAGTAGATCCTTATACATATGCATGCATGCGTGAAATTATCCTGACATTCATCAAGGCTGCTTCTCCGTTGATGCTCCGTTTTTTTTCGTCCTGTCTTCGGTACTTCTGTCGTCGTTGTCCGGGTCAAATCAAAGGCTTCTCGGAAAGTACCGATTGCTTGCTCAAAGCAATGTTGCGCAGTGCGTTTGTAGTTACGAACCTACCACTTTTTCATCATAGGAAGCGTTTAGACTTTAGGCTCATTGCAAATAAAAGAGCAATGAGATGCTTAGCCGCCATTATCTCATAATGATGTCCGTTCCGTCACCTGGTAGCGCATCGAATGCGGTGACGCAGGTCCGAACTCCGGCGCTCGATATATGAGAGGACGGTCTGGTTGGCAGGCGTAGCAGCAGCCAGTTGAAGTCAGTTGAGTGTGACGGACCTTTTCTGACTATTAGGGCATCATAAACTTTTTTATTTATACCAACAATTACCATTGCATCTTTTGCACCTCCGATTTGGGCAATCTGCACGCGCAAAACATGCAATTTTCATTGCTTTAAGTTGTCATTGTTACATGCGATATCTATTTATTTCGACTGCCGACATTTATTTTCAAGTTTGACCTTTTCCCGCTCGATTCTAAAACATCAGGATCTGTACTCACCTCAATGAACCAGTCTGGTGTGATGCAACTCAACTAAGTCGTTCTCCATTCCATCGTTTAACACCAAATGATGTCATTTAGCGGAGTAATTGCCACCAGCGCCTCTCTGCGTATTCGATCGGGCGCGATGGAGCTGTTTACGATGGCCAGACTGGCGGCCGACTCTCAGCGCTGGTCGGTCCATTTTGTCGGGCCCACGCGGTAATCGCATCAGCCTGTTGACTGGACCCGGCCTGCCGCTTCCCCCGCCGCCGCCCCCGCCCGCCGTGGGGTGGGTCAGCAGCGGGCAGACGGGTCTGGTGAGTGGATTGGTCGGGAGGGAGCCGCTGCCGGAGTAGGTGCGTCGAAACTGGTCGATTGGTCGCGCATTGTGACGAGAAAATGATGGTCCGCACGCCAAGGTCGTAGGCGAGTATGAACGCAAATGTGGAAAGCACTTTGTTAAATCTGGATATGAAATCAAACAAAAATATGCCGAGCTACACAGTTTGAGTTTTTAACTTAAAATGTTAGTTTGATCAAGCCAATTTATTATGGATGGTGACATCCAATACAAGTGTTTTTGTATATATTGCATCGTTGAACATAACTATGCCGACTGTTCACTCTCCAGCGTCCATTGTCCATGCACGGAGCCCAGCATTTCACTAGTTCTGCGTGGGCCGACCGTTTCACGATTGGTTCGTACACCCGAGGGAGGGGACAGTCGTCGATGGAGAGGTGCAATCGTGCCGCGGGGACACCCATGTAGTCTGTGATTGCCGACTAATCAATCACCAGGTGGGTGGAACAACCTCGGCGACCTCATGATTTCACTGCTGTTCGGATTGTGAGCTCATTCGTCTGTGGTATGGCGGCCGGTGAGTTCATTCGACAAATTGCCTTGCACATCAATGCACTCGCTGCTCGCTCTGGCATTGATTTTGTCGGGGATGCTTGAAGGAATGTCTGATGGAAGGCTACATTCGTTTTTATGAATGTGGGTTGAAAGTGATCTTTGCTTTTGCTACGGTTCTTACGAATTTGTTATCTCTCAAATTACCAAGTACAGAAACATAAAACGAACCGACAGTGTCTTCCTTACCTATCATGCGTAGAGCCTGCTGCTCAGCTGCTCGATGAATATGTCTTATTATGTTTGTTTTACAAAACGCTCAATATATATAACTTATAATTGTAAGGTCCGAATTTTTCCATTCAGGCCCAGCGTAGGTATCTGCAAGTTGTTCACTGAAGTCAGCCTAACCCACAGGAAGATTTGAATTATTGCGTGCTTGAATGACATGATATATAGGAAATCATTGGCATTCAGTATGTATACCTCTACGTCTACCAATAACTTGAAACTGGCAATATTGGTCGGCTGATTGGAAGCTATCCAAGACGATTGCGTGCGCTGAGTAAGGCTGCTTGTAAAGGCTAGTCATGACCGAATTCATAGCATAGACCCGACCGATTTGTGAAATCGCAGCTGCCCGACGCCCGTTGATCTCCTCCTGAAGGTGTGGGCGAATGGCAAATTAAGCTGTCGAAATGAACTGCTCGAAATTGAACACCAATCAACGCAGATAGTGTAATTGGGTGAGCTGGAATGGACGGACGGCAGTTGGTCTGCTTGATCCTTAAACGAAACTGAACACTTTCAGCGATCATTTACACGTGTGTAATAGTGCTCTTTCAAAGCAGGGATGTTAAATGTTCCGACTGATATTTTACCAAGCGGTGTTGATAACACATGGACCTCGCCGTGTGAACGTTTGTGATGCGTTTCGGGTGGTTGCCAGTGTTCACGGTTGGTGAGATCCTGTTTGTCGCTATCAGCGCGCAGTCGCAAAATTTAATTACCATTTTGCGTCTCGCTGAACGCAAAAGACCCGGATGGGTGTCCATTGCTTTTTCAAATAGGACTGTGCTAGACGTACCTACTTTGAAGCAAGCCGCGAAGAAAAAGTTCTAGTTCCTGATTCCTGCAAATGGAGTTTGTATGAGACAGATGCAGTCCGTAGGTGAGATGTCGCTGATATTTACATTTATATTGCTGTAGGTGTTAGTTTGAATCCTTTGTCGGTCTCTGTGAGGTCCGTTTTCCGTTTGCGGTATCATTTAAATGGAGGGTATGCTCTTTCCAGTTCTTACCACCAACGCGCATGTAAAGGATGGAACAGACCCGCCTGTTGTTCAATATATCCATGCACACTGCACGTGCTAAGTCTTTTATAGTTCACAAACATACCTAAATACGCCTATAAGTTAATCCCTGTCATGACCGATGCATAGCATCCCAGTGTGGATAACCTTCATTGCGACTTTCCAGGACATTTATATATGAAAAACTGTTTGTGAAACAAAACGAGAACGTACGATGGAGGTGATTTGCATGTTTCCTGCATGCCTACACTGGCCGGATCGTATGCCCTTGTTACCTTCTCGCTCTGTTTCTCCTCTCGTTATTTCCCCTGGTCTGTTTTCTCCGCCGTGCTATATTGGTCCGGCCCGTCCCGTGCCGCGCCTTCGTAACAAGACGCCTACCTACGTGTGTGTAGCCGGGTGGCGGCTCAATACTATGATCTCCGACTGGCCGGCTGGCCCGCATACACCCACCAGCCGTGGCCGATACGCTGACGGTTCAGTAGTCGAGCCCTGACTCAGGCCGGCGGCGCGGGGAGACAGGCAGAGATCTGACTGGTACAGGGACCCGCAGTTGCTACTGTACAGCGACCCTGAGTTAATTGTCCCAGCACCCTCACAGGGAACAACGATAAGCTGTCAGAGGGTACTCACAGGAAACCTCAGCTGCTCTTGTACAGGGACCAGCAGTCGATATCAATGTTATCGGTTGTTACTGGACAGGACAGACGGTTAGACTTGGGGTTCGTGTACAGTAGCAACTGCGGGTCCCCGTACCCTCAGTGAGCTGTCGGCCAACCGCTGCCCCGTGGGGATGGGAAGAAATATTACGGTGTCACTTTGTGAGAGCGACTTCTGGCTCAGTGTTGGAGAATGCTGCAGTAACCGTCTGATCCCTGGATGGAGGCTGTCGGGACTGAATGCCTTCGATCGGTGCCCGTGAGACCGGGCTGACCTTCTGGCGAGTGCCGGCTGGCCTGTCTGGTCTGTCAAGGTGACCTACCTGGTCTACTAGGTGACCTCTCTTACCTTTCTGGGTGACCTTTCTGACCTGTCTGGGTGACCTTTTTGACCCTGTCTGAGTGACCTATCTGACCCGTATGGGTGACCTGCAGGTCATTAGACATGTCTAATCTTTAAGGGCGACCTTCCGGACCCTGTCTGACCTTTCTGGGTGACCTGTCACTAATCACTGTGTCATCCTGTGCGACACCCGGATGTTCAGCTGTGACACCGAACAGATACAGGGAAGTTCAGAACTCTGAGATCCGTTAGCGCAGGTGGCTGTCAGGCCGAGTTCACGGCAGTATGAGCACGGCATGTCACTGGCATGGCTAATCAAAGCAGAGTGTCACCCTCAGACGCGCGCTATGACTCTGGGCCGCGCGGAGCGATGCCAGGGGCCCTCGGCGGGGCAGTGATTGCGAGAAGCCGACGCCAGGAGCGGTTTCCATGTCGACACAGGCGACTCTGCAGGGATCGGATTAGTCGAAATCATGCGTCGACGCGCTGTTAGGAGGAAAGCTCGATGTGACTGTGTTCGACAACTGTCCTCTGTCTCTTGATGTGGTGGAGTGGGATTTTGTTACCTACGCCGTGGTTTTCACGAGCGTATCTGGAATAAATTTCACCGTCTTGGAATAAATTTCACACATAAAACATACGTCCATTTTCGTCCTAACATTTATTCATTCATATCAGAAGCTTTATGCTAATTTAGAGCCAAGTATGCAGAGTTACCTCGGTGACTGCCACGTGATCTCTCATCATCCGATTATAATCATTTCAATGGTAACCACGTGACCT